CCTCAAGGATTAACACATCATTGTTAAGAGAGAGTGAGAGAGAGAGAGAGTGAGTGTGTGTGTGATGTGCACTGCCCCTTTAAGTACGCTGACCCCACTATAAGGGCACTGCCTTTTAAAGTATATCAGCAAGTTGAGACAGCAGCTGCTGCTAGCAAACTCCCTCCGTTCTGAACCCTGGGAGTCTCCTCCCCCGCAGCTCTGTGGAGATGGGGTACAGGAGTGGGGAGCAGGAGCAGTGGGACACCCTGACATCAGCACCCCTCTTCCCTCCACCCCCCTGCAAAGAAAGCAGGAGGCTCCCGGGAGCAACTCCAAAGCAGAGGGCAGGAGCAGCACACAGCAGTGCGGGGGGAGGGACACCTGAACTGCCCAGCACTTGATAGGCTGCTGGGCAGCTGCTGCACAGGGAACTTAGGGGAGCTGCCCACCCAGCCTGGTTCCAAGTCCCCACCAGCTAGCTCCAAGAGGCTGCTCTTCCTGCAAACAGTGGACAAAGCAGGTGGCTGCCAAACAATGTCATAAGGGAGCACTGCGCAACTTTAAATTAGCATGTTCTCTAATAGATCGGCGATGTAACAATGAAACCACGTTAACCGGGACGACATTAAGTGAGGAGTTACTGTATTGGGGTGCTGACAATAGCGTGTTTAAAGGAAAGTTCTGACCAGAGGTACATGATCCAACCACAAAAGTGTCATGGCAATGAACTGTCATATATAACAGGTACATGAGCTACTTTCGCAGATACCTAACCACAAAAGGGCCATGGTAACGAATTGATGTATATGATAATAAGTTGAGATCATTGATATACTAACTTATAGAATTAATAACCTATAAAATTAGTAAGGTAAGGATATACAAATAAGGAAAAGGGGAAATACCCCTACTGAATATGCATCAAACACAGTGTCACTAAAAGTTGAATCACAGCCTAAGGGTGGAAGGAGAAGGAGATGAGGAGGTGCCAGAATGATGGCCACTGGTGACGATGGTGATAAGTAAGATGATGGCTAACATTTCAGATTGTTCCGAAACCTACAAGAGATAGTGTGAGTATATGGATGCGCAAACGTTCATTCTGTAGAATCTCTATCTTACTGAGTTGGGGTGTTTATGACTGCTAAATGGGATTGTAGCTGTCATTGTCCATTGGGAGCAAGATCAATGCGAACCAGATACTCTCTTTCTTTGAGCAAGGTTTAATGAGGACTTTTAAATTCTGGGATGCAAGACCCACAAAGTCAAGAAACAAATTAGAAATGGAAAATAGGTTAAGGACTATTTAGAAAAGCTGGACGTGCACAAGTCCATGGGTCCAAATCTAATGCATCCAAGGGTGCTGAGGGAATTGGCTGATGTAATTGCAGAGCCATTGGCCATTATCTTTGAAAATTTGTGGTGATTAGGGGAGATCCCGGATGTTTGGAAAAAGACAAATATAGTGCCCATATTTTAAAAAAGGGAAAAAAAGAGAACCCAGGGAACTACAGACCAGTCAGCCTCACTTCAGTCCCCAGTAAAATCATGGAGCAGGTCCTCAAGGAATCCATTTTGAAGCACTTGGAGAAGAGGAAGGTGATCAGGAACAATTAACATGGATTCACCAAGGGCAAGTCATGCCTGACCAACCTGATTGCCTTTTATGAGATAACTGACTCTGTGGATATGGGGAAAGCGGTGGATGTGGTATCTTGACTTTAGCAAAGCTTTTGATATGGTCTCCCACAGTATTCTTGCCAGCAAGTTAAAAAAGTATGCACTGGATTATAAGGTGGATAGAAAGCTGGCTAGATCGTTGGCAGTGATCAATGGCTCGATGTCTAGTTGGCAGCCGGTTATCAAGCGGAGTGCCTCAGGGGTCGGTCCTGGGGCCGGTTTTGTTCAACATCTTCATTAATCATCTGAATGACGGGATTAATTGCACCCTAAGCAAGTTCGCAGATGACACTAAGCTGGGGGGAGAGGTAGATATGCTGGAGGGTAGGGATAGGGTACAGAGTGACCTATATAAATTGGAGGATTGGGCCAAAAGAAATCCAATGAGGTTCAACAAGGACAAGTACAGAGTCCTGCATTTAGGAAGGAAGAACCCTATGCACTGCTACAGGCTGGGGACCGACTGGCTAAGCAGCAGTTCTGCAGAAAAGAATCTGCGGATTACGGCGGACGAGAAGCTGGATATGAGTCAGCAGTGTGCCCTCCTTGCCAAGAAAGCCAACGGCATATTGGGCTGTATTAGTAGGAGAATTGCCAGCAGATGGAGGGAAGTGATTATTCCCCTCTATTCAGCACTGGTGAGGCCACACCTGGAGTAGTGTGTCCAGTTTGGTCCCCCAACTACAGAAGGGATGTGGACAAATTGGAAAGAGTCCAGCAGGGGCAACGAAAATGATTAGGGGGTTGGGGCACATGACTTATGAGGAGAGGCTGAGGGAATTACAGGTTATTTAGTCTGCAGAAGAGAAGAGTGAGGGGGGGGGATTTGATAGCAGCCTTCAACTACTGGAAGGGGGTTCCAAAGAGGATGGAGCTAAGCTATTCTCACAGATGAGACCATTGTTACTTGTTCTGTCAAGCTGCAGTGGGCGAGGTCTAGGTTGGATATTAGGAAACACTATTTCACTCATAATGACAGGTTTCAGAGGAACAGCCGTGTTAGTCTGTATTCGCAAAAAGAAAAGGAGTACTTGTGGCACCTTAGAGACTAACCAATTTATTTGAGCATGAGCTTTCGTGAGCTACAGCTCACTTCATCAGATGTATACCGTGGAAACTGCAGCAGACTTTATATACACACAGAGAATATGAAACAATACCTCCTCCCACCCACTGTCCTGCTGGTAATAGCTTATCTAAAGTGATCAACAGGTGGGCCATTTCCAGCACAAATCCAGGTTTTCTCACCCTCCACCCCCCCACACAAATTCACTCTCCTGCTGGTGCTAGCCCATCCAAAGTGACAACTCTTTACATAATCAAGTCGGGCTATTTCCTGCATAGATCCAGGTTTTCTCACATCCCCCCCACCCCCATACACACACAAACTCACTCTCCTGCTGGTAATAGCTCATCTAAACTGACCACTCTCCAAGTTTAAATCCAAGTTAAACCAGAACATCTGGGGGGGGGAGGAAAAACAACCCCCCCCCCCCAGATATTCTGGTTTAACTTGGATTTAAACTTGGAGAGTGGTCAGTTTAGATGAGCTATTACCAGCAGGAGAGTGAGTTTGTGTGTGTATGGGGGTGGGGGGGATGTGAGAAAACCTGGATCTATGCAGGAAATAGCCCGACTTGATTATGTAAAGAGTTGTCACTTTGGATGGGCTAGCACCAGCAGGAGAGTGAATTTGTGTGGGGGGGTGGAGGGTGAGAAAACCTGGATTTGTGCTGGAAATGGCCCACCTGTTGATCACTTTAGATAAGCTATTACCAGCAGGACAGTGGGGTGGGAGGAGATATTGTTTCATATTCTCTGTGTGTATATAAAGTCTGCTGCAGTTTCCACGGTATACATCTGATGAAGTGAGCTGTAGCTCACGAAAGCTCATGCTCAAATAAATTGGTTAGTCTCTAAGGTGCCACAAGTACTCCTTTACTATTTCACTCGGAGGTGGTGAAGCACTGGAATGGGTTACCTAGGGAGGTGGTGGAATTTCCATCCTTAGAGGTTTTTAAGGTCCAGCATGACGAAGTCTTGACAGGGATGGTTTAATTGGTGTTGGTTCTGCTTTGAGCAGGGGATTGGACTAGATGACCTCCTGAGGTCTCTTCCAACCCCAATATTCTATGACTCTATGATAAATATCCATTTGGGTATGGATGCATTTTGGGTATCTTATCTGGGAATGGGCATGTTTTCTTCAAATTGCATCTACAGCCTGCTCAGAGATCCTTATTTAGATACCCAGGTGCCACCCCGATGTAACAATACAGATACATGCTGGGTGCTCAAACAAAAGTTTAGTTCAGGGTGACTGGCCTCTTAAATCTCTCGAGTAAGGGTTTATAAGACAGGAAAAGACTGTCTATTAAACAATCTGAATGGAGATGTTCAGTTTAATTCACATTGGTTTCATTGTCTCCTTTCAGAAGTGCATCATGTCAGCAGAAAGAGAGCATGTTCTTTGATTTGTGTTGTTTGTTAGTTAATAAAGTAACTAACACCCATGATGTAAACTAAGAATGAGACTCCCAATTCTACATATATGATCTGGGTGGATGACCTTCAAGGGCATACAAGTTGGCAAAGCTGTCCTTCTGCCAAGTATACAGTTCATCATTAGATGACAGAAGATATGACAGGCAGCTTTTCTGTTTGCATATGGTTTCAAATGTAGATAGTCTTCCATTCTACAACTACACCTCATTTCGTATGAGTGCTTTGAAAGCTTTAATATGAAGCTAGCATTTGTGTAAAGATGATCTTTCTGCAACACAAAGTTTCTGTTTGTGCTGATGGAGCTCCTCTCTGCAGCAACACTAAAAATGCTACAACTGATTTTTTTCAAAAGCTTCAATATCTATGCACATGAGGACTTCTGAATTAGCTCAAAGATCTCTACCATGGTATTTCGAATGTGGACTGGAGGCTGTTACAGGTGGAGACTACACCCTTGCCACAGATCATCCATTGCCTTTTTCTGTTTGGAGCAAGGTTGTATGCATTTAGGTGCAGTGAATATATCTTCATCTGTGCTTGGAAACCATCTACCATGCTGTGGGTGCTATTACAATTAAATATTATAAATAGTAGGCAGATTCTTGTTGTTGGTCTACCAGCCTGCTTTCAGATGGCTCAGTGAGAAATGCTGAATATCTGATTATGAGGGTTTGATAGGTGTTTAATCTACCATCTGTAATTTAATTGAACTGAAACAAAAGAAGTTGCATTTTTTTCTAATTCAGGATAAAAGTCACCAAAATAATTTACAGTGTGGCACTGTAATAATTTTCTATGAGAAAACACACACACTTTATTGTTTCATAACTTACCTAGAAATCTCAGCTTGGGAATTTTTTTCTCCATCAACTGTAAAAGGCGATGCTCCAGTTAATAACTCATACATAAGAACACCAAGACTCCACCAATCAACAGCCTATAAAATAAAAATTATATATATGGTACTTCAAAAAGCATATTATAAAACAAAATCCTAGGAAATAGCTAAACTGCAACATAGTTCTCTTTTGTTAACAACGCAAAGGCAGGGTATGATGAAATTACAGAATTAAGATATTAGAGTAATTAAATTGAGACAGCGTAGAAAATGTTTAACTGTATATTATATATATATATATATATACACACACACATACATACACATGCGCATTTCCCTATTTGGATTTATGAGAAAATACTAAATTGTAAAATCATAAAAAGGTAGGATTTGCAGGGACCAATAGGTCATCTACTCCAATCCCCTACACTGAGGAAGGACTAAATATTACCTAGACCATCCCAAGAGGTCTTTGTCTCACCTGTTCTTAATAACCTCCAATGATGAAGATTTCACAACCTCCCTAAGTAATTTGTTCCAGTGCTTAACTACCCTTACAGTTAGTAAGTTTTTCCTAATGTCTACCCTAAATCTCCCTTGCTGTAATGTAAACCCATTATTTCTTGTCCTGTCCTTAGGGGCTATGTAGAACAATTTATCACCTTCCTCTTTATAAAGACCTTTTACACAAAGACTATTATGTCCCCACTCAGACTGCTACGCTGGGCATCACAAAATGGGGAAGAGATGGCCAGCCCTCTGTGGAGAAAGAGGTGGTTAGGGACTATTTAGAAAAGCTGGACGTGCACAAGTCCATGGGGCCGGACGAGTTGCATCCGAGAGTGCTGAAGGAATTGGCGGCTGTGATTGCAGAGCCATTGGCCATTATCTTTGAAAACTCGTGGCGAACCGGGGAAGTCCCGGATGACTGGAAAAAGGCTAATGTAGTGCCAATCTTTAAAAAAGGGAAGAAGGACGATCCTGGGAACTACAGGCCAGTCAGCCTCACTTCAGTCCCTGGAAAAATCATGGAGCAGGTCCTCAAAGAATCAATCCTGAAGCACTTGCATGAGAGGAAAGTGATCAGGAACAGCCAGCATGGATTCACCAAGGGAAGGTCATGCCTGACTAATCTAATCGCCTTCTATGATGAGATTACTGGTTCCGTGGATGAAGGGAAAGCAGTGGATGTATTGTTTCTTGACTTTAGCAAAGCTTTTGACACGGTCTCCCACAGTATTCTTGTCAGCAAGTTAAGGAAGTATGGGCTGGATGAATGCACTACAAGGTGGGTAGAAAGCTGGCTAGATTGTCGGGCTCAACGGGTAGTGATCAATGGCTCCATATCTAGTTGGCAGCCGGTATCAAGTGGAGTACCCCAAGGGTCAGTCCTGGGGCCGGTTTTGTTCAATATCTTCATAAATGATCTGGAGGATGGTATGGATTGCACTCTCAGCAAATTTGCAGATGATACTAAACTGGGAGGAGTGGTAGATACGCTGGAGGGGAGGGATAGGATACAGAAGGACCTAGACAAATTGGAGGATTGGGCCAAAAGAAATCTGATGAGGTTCAATAAGGATAAGTGCAGGGTCCTGCACTTAGGACGGAAGAACCCAATGCACAGCTACAGACTAGGGACCGAATGGCTAGGCAGCAGTTCTGCGGAAAAGGACCTAGGGGTGACAGTGGACGAGAAGCTGGATATGAGTCAGCAGTGTGCTCTTGTTGCCAAGAAGGCCAATGGCATTTTGGGATGTATAAGTAGGGGCATAGCGAGCAGATCGAGGGACGTGATCGTTCCCCTCTATTCGACATTGGTGAGGCCTCATCTGGAGTACTGTGTCCAGTTTTGGGCCCCACACTACAAAAAGGACGTGGATAAATTGGAGAGAGTCCAGCGAAGGGCAACAAAAATGATTAGGGGACTGGAACACGAGTTATGAGGAGAGGCTGAGGGAGCTGGGATTGTTTAGCCTGCAGAAGAGAAGAATGAGGGGGGATTTGATAGCTGCTTTCAACTACCTGAAAGGGGGTTCCAAAGAGGATGGCTCTAGACTGTTCTCAATGGTAGCAGATGACAGAACGAGGAGTAATGGTCTCAAGTTGCAGTGGGGGAGGTTTAGATTGGATATTAGGAAAAACTTTTTCACTAAGAGGGTGGTGAAACACTGGAATGCGTTACCTAGGGAGGTGGTAGAATCTCCTTCCTTAGAGGTTTTTAAGGTCAGGCTTGACAAAGCCCTGGCTGGGATGATTTAACTGGGAATTGGTCCTGCTTTGAGCAGGGAGTTGGACTAGATGACCTTCTGGGGTCCCTTCCAACCCTGATATTCTATGATTCTATGATTCAGTCTTTTCTTCTCCAAACTAAACAAATCCAGTTTTTTCAATCTTTCCTCGCACGTTATAGTGATGGGTTGTATGCCCCACACTGAAACAGCCAGAGTTGGGGGTGGGTCTGGGAGCCCCTGCCATCCACTGCAGAATGATATTGCTAGGGCAGTGAATGGGAAGACTGCCTCAGTCACTGTGGGAGTGACATAGTCAGGGCAGTGGGCATAAGGACTACCTGATGTTGTTGCTGCAGAGGAACTTACCATGGTGTGACCTGGCCAGAGGGCTGAGTCACAAAGCAGCTGTACTGCGACTCAGAGGGAGGAGAGCTGCAATGGTGGAAGAGAAGAAAGAGGGCACTGAACAAGGCAGAGCTATCCCTAGAATCTCCAGAAGGGGGCATCACCAAGAAATGAGTAGAGGACACTGTGACAGCATGTTGGAGAACTGTGGGCATGATGGTACCTCTGATATAAGGCATCAGTGATGGACTGCGTATGACAAGTACCCTGAGATGAGGGGTTAGAGAGAATTTGTAAGGCAGTCAAATCTTGACAAAGGGGAGGGTAAAGGGCCACAGCCGAGAAAGGACCCCTATGAGAAAGTGAAAATGGAGATGTAAACAGTACAGGCTTTTTATTTTGCTGAGAGAAGTTATCCCCTACCAGGGTGGATGCCAGAGTTGCTGCTCCCAGAGGGGACCTGATTTAATTGGGGATTGGTCCTGCTTTGAGCAGGGGGTTGGACTAGATGACCTCCTGAGGTCCCTTCCAATCCTGATATTCTATGATTCTATTCTATGATTCACCAGAGGCAGGTCCATGCCGCAAAGGGACAGATACTGGAAAATCAGCCGACACTGTGAGAGGCCAAAGTATACCTACAGGACTATTTGGTTAGGGTAGCTGATCGACAGCAGCCGTTGTATAAAATCCTACAAGAGGAAAGCAGGAGAGGTCATAAGGGCCAGGAATGGGAAAGATGGTGTTACGGCTGTGATTCAATTTCCAGCATCCTTTCAAGTTAAATTGAAGGGATTAGGCTTCCTGATATTCATGGAGAGTTCAGTGGTCATAATGGGGAAAGGTAGAAGCTGACCGTCTTGGTGGTTCATGTTTCTTGATATAAGCAAACATCTTTCCATGTAATGGGGGCTTTCTTCAAAACAGAAAGAGAGATGTTTCAACAGTCTGACTTGATTTTCAAACACAGTTAATAGTAACAAAATTTTAGAGCACATTTCATTTCTATAAAATAAGCTAGAATAATGGCTTGCAAAAACTGGTAAGTGTTTTCCTAAAATTGAAGCTTCAATATAAATTTTAACTTCGCACTCCATAATCTGTCTTCACATCATTGACACATTCTGGGTAGTAACTTGATATGCACATTCTAGTAAGGATCACACAGAAAATAGTTATGAGATGTTGTGAGCCCGGGTTTGGGTACTTGATTTCCCACCCCCAATCCTGGGTTAGGAGATCTGGAAATAGGCGGCTCCTGAGAGGTGGAAGTATGGACATCAGTGGAAGTTCCATGAACCAGAACAGTCTGGGTCAGTAGGGTGCTAGGAGGAGTATGGTGGCTCTGGCGCGATGGATCTTTCCTCCAACTTGCGGTAACAGGTGGATGGGAGGAAAGGCGTATCTGAGGAGGTCTGTCCAGGAAAGCATCACCCTTGGAATCGTGACATATGGCCCCCCAGAATAATACCTGGGAAGTTTTCTGTTCGTCCCATAACTGTGTAAAGATCTTGGTTAGGATTGCTGTGGCTCTCCCATTTTTGGTCTGCAGAGAAACTTCTGCTTAGTTTGCCTGCCAGGGAGTTGTGAACTCCCAGGATGTACACAGCTTGAACCGTGATGTGGCTTCTGATACACGAGTTCCAAAGTCTGACTACTTCCAGGCAGAGGGGATGAGATCTACATCCCTTTCTGAAGGGAGGGAATTATAGATGTCAGCGTAATCATCCTAAATTTCAGCTTTTGGATAAAGATGTTGATAATGTTGCCAAAAGTCCAGGATGGGTCTCCACCCATCATCTTTTTGGGGGGTTAGGAAATATGGAGAGAAAAAAAAACCCTCCCTTGGCACTGAGGCGGGATGCGCTCTATTGCCCCTGCAATATTCTCTTGATGAAGCAGTCAGACTTTGGAACTGATGTATCAGAAACCACATCACAATAAAGCTATGTACATCCTGGGAGTTCACAACTCCCTGGCATGTTAACTAAGCAGAAGCGAGTGGTCCCTGAAGGGGGATTGGGAAGGACATTTGTGATGGGGGAAGGAGAGAAACTCGATGGAACAGCCCTGATGGATAATCTCCAGGACCCAACTGTCCGTGGTGATCTTTTTCCAGCTGTAGGCAAACAGAATGAGATAACCGCCAAAGGTGACAGGAGAAGTGGGTGGCATCTATGTGGCATGCGGGTCCTGACCTGTATGTCAAAAATGGCCCTTGGCCTGCAGTTGAGAGTGAGTGGAGGCTGGGGCAGGAGAGGGAGGTGAGAAATTGAACCTCTGAGTCCTCTGGCATTTGTGTAGAGGCACACTCAGAAAGACACTGGTAATAGGGAGCATGCGGAGCTGGTGGTTTTGGTCTAAAGGGCTGTCTATGGTGTTTCCTCCTGGGAATGAAGTGTAAATCCCCAGGGACCTCAGAGGAGATCTCAAGTCCTTTAGTGAGTGCAGGGACTCATAAGTCTGTTCATTAAAAAGGCTGGACTCAATGAAGGGAAGGTCCTGCATGGTGTTTTTGATCTCCCTAGGAAACCCTGACAACTGTAGCCACAAGACCTTCAGCATGACAAGTCCCGCGGCCAAAGTCCTGGACATTGTGTCAGTGGCATCTACTGCAGCCTGGAGGGCCACATTTGCTACTAACTTCACTTCACTTAGAAGGGACTGGAACTGAGTTCTGTCCTTTATGGAAAGTTTATCTTTAAAGTCTGGAAGTCTGACATAGCTGTTCAAATTGTATTTCACTAACAAAGCTTGGTAGTTAGCCATATGAAATTGCAGATCTGTGGAGAACACCTTCCCTCCCAGAAAGTCCAGTCTCTTTGACTGCCAGGATGGATTTCTGGTAGTGCGACTCAACTCTTCCCAGGGCCACCTGTACCATCAACGAGTTGGGGGCAGGATGAGAAAACAAAAAGTCAGTTTCTTTGGCAGAAACAAAATTACATCTCTCAGCCCTTTTTGGTGTAGGTACACAAGATGCTGGTGTATGCCATACCACTCTGGCTGGCTCTAGTATAGCCGTGTTAATTGGAAAGGCCACCTTACTCAGTCCCTTTGGTTGAAAGATGTCCAGGCACCAGTGTTGATGAACCTGAACTAATCTACTGCGATCTCTAGATCATTTGCAACCCTATGTAACAGCTCCTGGTACCGACTGGTGGAGAAGGCAACGACTAAGTGACAGCATTGTCCAGAGATGATGAAGCAGCAGCCTGTAGCAGGGCCTTTGCTCAAGGCCAAAAACAGCACAGAGACCTTTATGCTGGTAATACAGCCAGTGAAGTTTATTTACAATGTTGGTTCCCACCACCCTTGTACACTATACAGTCTTAACTCCTACGGTTTTAGGGAGCCCTCAGCTCCTGTCTGCTCCTCCCCTCCATTTCCGTCCTATGCCTTTTTGTATCCTCTACCTAATAGCTGAATTAGCCTTCCAGCTCTTCTCCACCCACCAATTAGACACAGCTCTTAACAAGGTCTCTTCTGCAGTGTTTAACTGAAGCTGCAGTGACCAGAGTGCTGGCTCAACTGTTGTTGCTCAGTATTCCATCACAAAGCTCTTATCAAATCAGCAGAACCAGTTCTAGCCCGTCCTCCTCATGCATCAACGGAACCAGTTGGCAAGAAGGGGAGAAGTGGTAAAAGTCATGAGAGGGGTCCAGACACCTAACCATAGGAATCCCGTGGTCCCCAATAAGGCCAGAAGGAGGGATCCATCAGTTGCAATGGCTCCCAGAGGAATTGGTACTAGTGGTCCTGGGAGCGAAGGGGGGACGGGATCATACTGGGAGGGATGCTAAGTATAGCCTCTCAACTGTCTGTTGGGTCTCCTGCCCTTCTGTGGAAATACTGATGCAGCTATCTCCTCCTCCAATTCTGAGGACTGTTCTGCTGGTAGCGGCAATGCCATCAGTACTGGAACGCTCCTGCCCGATGGTTGAAGATGGAACTGCTGAATTCTGAGACATTAGTAAAGATTCTTCCTCCAGAACGAGGACATCCCTCACAAGATCAGGGCCAGAAACGAGTGGAGACTGTGGGTAGGGGAGGAAAATATCCTCTGGTGTTACATAATTCTGTACAGCCTAGGGAGTTCCAGCAGGTATGCCTGAAGGACCTGGCTCATCTGTTGCAGCTGAACAGTCTTTAGATGAACAAGACGATACCAACGATGAGTCCAGACCCACACACATATATGGAACTGGTGAGCATCTGTCCTTTCATTTCGGTACCACAGTCACAGTCGGAACTGACCAATCCTTTTTTTTTGCATGCCTTGCCCTCCAACTTAGGGGTCTTAGTGGAGCTGGTTCCAAACACACTGTCTCACCCGAACTGGACTGGCTCAGGAACGGAATGCATTTCTTATGGACAGTCCTCTGTCCTTGCACCCTGACAGTGCTCTCTACTCTCAGGGGGAGGCCTAGAGAAAGAGTCCTTTGGCTTCAGGGTTAACAACTCCACTCTAAGGCATACTTGGAGGAGCACTGCTGGTTGGTGGGGGCCAATGTACGGGGGGGTCTCCCAGGCCCAGATCAGAGCAGAACCTCATACAAAGTTCCTGATAGAGGAGGCTAAGTTGGAGCTCCTGGGCCTCTCAAGTTCTAGGTGGAAAAGGATCTACAGATACTGCCCTGTGCAGAGATATGTGCTTCACCCATACAGCAGAAGCACCGTTGATACTTGTCACTGATGAAGTAGTAGTGAGGGCAGAAGACACAATTCTTGAAACTGGGGACTCTGGGTACAGTCTTGGACCAGAGGGTGGGTTGGGAAATGATTCTATACTATTCTGTAACAACAAACTTCTTAAACAAATATTGAAAAACTATTTACAAATATTTTGTGTTATAGTTTATACACAGAGTGAAGGACGACACTATTGTGACTCAGGCCATGTGGTGGTAAGAAGTAACTAGAGAGGCATTGACCTACACTGCCTTTTACACTCTCAGTCTGAAGCATGAGGGGATCTATTACAAATGTGCAGGTTAACGGACACTCCTTTGAAGAATTTCTGGACTTGGGCACATGGAGCCAATGCAAACCCACCTGTGGAATACATGTAGGGACTATCACTCTAAGAATCACCATTGAGAACTACTTTGAGTAGTTTTTCAATCAGTCCTGCACCCACCTTACAGTAATTTAATCTGGACTACATTTCCCTAGTTTGCTTATGCGAATGACATGTAGGACTGTGTCAAAAACCTTATTAAAGTCTATAGCTTCCTCGCTATCCACAAGGCCAGTTACCCTGTCGAGGGAAAATTAATGGGTTTGGCATGATTTCTTCTTGCAAAACCCATGTTCCCAATTATTTATCATACTATTATCTGCTAGATGCTTAGAAATTGTTTATTTAACCATTTGTTCCAGTATCTTTCCAGGTATGTAAGTTAGGCTGATTGGTCTATAATTTCCCAGGACCTCTTTGCTCCCCTTTTTGAAGATAGGTACCATGTTCCCCCCTCTCTAATCCTTCAGGACTGCCCCCATCCTCTATGAGTTCTTGAAAATGTTTGCTTTGGCTAGCTCCTTAAGTATTCTAGGATGAATTTCATCAGGCCCTGTCAACTTGAATACAACATTTAATTTACCTCAGTATTCTTTAACCTGTTAATTCCCTACTCTGTCCTGTGTTCCTTCCTCCTTGTTATTAATATTGGGTTAAGCATCTAGTGAATTAATCTTTTTAGTGAAGATTGACGCAAAATAGGCATTAAACTCTTGTGTCTTTTGTGTCATCTGTTATTTGCTTTCCTTCCCTAGTAAGTAATGGACCTACATTTTTCCTTGTCTTTCTCTTGCCCCAGTGTATTTATAGAACCTCTTCTTACTGCCTTTTGTCTTTCGTTGGGTGTACCTCATTATGCGCCTTAGTCTTTCTGATTTTGTTCCTGCTTGTTTGTGCTAGTCTTTCACATTCATCCTTAGCAATTTTGTCCTTGTTTCCATTTTGTACAATTCCTTTTTGATTTTCACATTAAAGAACCCCTGAAACAACCATATTGACCTCTTACGATTCTTCCCATTTTAGTTCTGCCTCAGGATATTGTTTGCTGTTTTGCTTTTAATATTGTCTCAGAGAAACTGCCAGCTCTCCTGGACTTACATTTGCCTTAGACTTTCTTTCCAAAGGTACCTTACAAAACAGTTCTTTAAGTTTGTTGAAGTCTGCATTTGTAAAGTCCATTGTCGTTATTCTGCTGCTTTCATTCCTTTTCCTTAGAATTATAAATTCTATCATTTTGTGATCTTCACTGAAGTTGCCTTTTGCTTTCAGATTCCCAACCACTTCCTCCCTGTTAATCAGAATCAAATCTAAAATATCTGCTCCTCTGGTTACCTCCTCCACCTTCTGAAATAAAAAGTTGTCCCCAGTACATTCCAAGAACTTGTTGACAGTCTGTGTTTTCCTGAATTATTTTTCCAACAAGTATCTGGGCAGTTAAAGTCCCCCATTATTACCATGGTTCGTGTTTTAGCTACTTCTGTTATTTGTTCTAAAAATGTCTCTCTACCTCCTCCTCCTCATTTGGTGGCCTGCAGTAGACATCCTACCGCCTCCCCACCTTTTCCTCCTTTTATCTTAACCCAGAGACTTTCAACACGTGTGATTCTCACTTCTTTCTGGACCTTAGTTGGGAAAGCTTGAGTTGTGAAATGGAGTGAGGGACTTTTGGAGGGCAGGCAAATAATCACATACAAAACTACCGAGTAGGATTCGTTTTAATCAGAAATGTAAACAGGCAGTGACAAAAGAAAGCTGAGATGAAACCGACCTTGTCATGTCCTGTGTCTCCTCCTCTGACAATATCTGGAGCCATGTATTCTATAGTTCCGCAAAAGGAATATGCTCTCTCATTCTAAAAAAGACATACATATGGATATCAAATGACTACAATGAATAAGGGATATATATAACTAACAGCTGATGACCCACAGCTATCATCCAAACAATTCAGGACTTCATAGACAAATCACCTTCCATCATAGAGAGAATTAACACAGAACCCTTGAGACTATTCACTACCTCCTAGGCCAGGGACGGGCAAACTTTTTGGCCTGAGGGCCACATGGGGTTTCCAAAATGGTATGGAGGGACAGTTAGGGGAGGCTGTGTCCTGCCCCCTGCCCTGCCCCCGTGTCCTATCCAACCCCCCCGCTTCTCGCCCCCTGATGGCTCCCTGGGGACTCCTGCCCCATCCAACCCCCCTTTTTCCCTGACGGCCTCCCCAGGACTCCTACCCCATCCACCACCTCCTGCTCCCTGTCCCCTGACCACCCTCGGATCTCCCACCCCTGACTGCCCCCTGCCACCCCATCCAACCAGGACCCCTACCCCATCCAACCCCCCTGCTCCCCACCCTCTGACCGCCTCGCCCACTAACCTCTATCCACCCCCCGTCCCCGCTCCCTTACCGCACGGCCTGGAGCACCGGTGGCTGGCGGCGCTACAGCCGCACCGCCCAGAGCACCGGGTCAGGCCACAGCTCTGCAACTGCGTTGCCTGGCCGTCCAGAGTTTTGCACTGGCGGCGCGGCGCGGCGCACTGAGGCTGTGGGGGATGGGGAGCAGCAAGAGAGGGGCCGGGAGCTAGCCTCCCGGGCCAGGAGCTCAGGGGCTGGGCAGAAGGGTCCCGCGGGCCGGATGTGGCCCACGGGCCATAGTTTGCCCTCCTCTGTCCTAGTCAATAACTACATTATGATGAATTTGTGGGGCAGATTTAACATAAGCACATGAAACAATCTTTGGTATTTAAAACAAAAATGTCATCTAGACTTAAAATAGCGTGTAACCAATTAGCTGCTACGGGGCATTCTCCAATAGAAGATTAATATGATTTCTGCCAGGTGCATTACTAATGCTCTAAATAACATGATAAAATGTGTAGGTAAAATACAACGATACATTTTTATAAGGCTCTTTGCAATTTGGCTAAACTTGATGTTATATCACACCCTGTGGCTCCCATATTCATGAAGCTATACTGACCTCTATTAAAAAAAAATCTTTCCATAATATACAGTGTGTAAAAAACAATTTGCTCCCAAGAGGAGGAAGGGGTTATTTTAATTTTATACTACATACAAAGTATTTGTTTTGGTTGTGTTCAATCTGAGCTATTTTCACAGGTCAGTGTACCATTCTTTGTTAATTCTTTGTTAATTCTTTGTGGTAAACATAAGGTAACGCTGTGCCTTGATAATTCTGAAAGCACATGTGATTAGGCCAAGAAACACTGTTCACTCCTTATCCTTCAAGGTTCTAGCATTTTTTGGAGAGATCATGATAGGTCCTTCAAAGAAGTGTGTTCAAATAAGTAGATATTTCACAAGTCAGGTTTACATTTATAGATTCAGATTTGGAGTTCAAGACATGTGCTATACAAGGAAATCAAGAACGTACTACACTAGAAAAAGGAAGCTTCTGAAATAAATTTTTAAAAAAAAGTCTTGTTCAGTGCTTCCATGAGATCTAAATTAACCAGTACAATGCCAAAATTATTAAACTATATTTTACTAGAAAATGTATACTCTGGCTTGCTTCTGATAAATTTCTGATTTTAATATCATTAAACATAAGCCTAATTTTGGGGAATGTTATTTAACATTATTTCCGCTGTTCCCCTTAATAAAGCCACACGATAGAAAACAATTATTTTCTTCTAATCACTTAATACCTTTTTCATGTGTTAATTTTGCTATAGTTTTTTCCTGTGGTATAATTGCTTGTTTCTCTGTACTTATCTGTTCTTCTGCTTGTCGCTTGGAACACAAAAAAAGGTTACCTATCTTTCCTAACTGCTGTTCAAGATGTGTTGCTCATGTCCATTCCATTCCGGGTATGCACACGCCCATGTGCGTGGTCGTTGGAGATTTCTGCCTTAGCAGTATCCGTAGGGTTGGCTGTGGTGCCCATATGAATGCACCACTCATGCGCTGATACATTAGGCGCCGCTAGCCCTATACCCTCTCAGTTCCTTCTTGCTGGCAACTACAACAGAGGGGTAAGGAGGGCGAACAACGGAATGGACATGAGCAACAAATCTCAAAGAACAACAGTTACGAAAGGTAGGTAACCGTTTTTAGTTCTTAGAGTGCTTACTCATGTTGATCCATTCTAGGTGACTCCCAAGTTATGTCCATGGAGGTGGGCTTGGAGTTCATGGTCATGCGGCTTCCAGCACAGCTCTGCCAAAGCCAGCATTGTCTTGAGCTTGCTGGATCAGTGCATAATGAGACTTGAACATATGGACAGAAGACCAGGTACCAATGCTATAGATATCTTGGATTGACACCTCTGCCAGGAATGCTGCTGATGACACTCTTGTGCTCTAGTTGAGTGTGCTGTCACCAATGCCAGCGGAGGCACTTTCACCAGCTCATAGCAGTAGCAGATGCAGGCCATGGGCCAGGATGAAATACTCTGAGCAGACACTGGGAGACCTTTCATCCTGTCTGTCACCACAACGAACAGCTGCACTGACTTCTGAAAAGGCTTTGTCTTCTTGATGTAGAAGGCCAATACCCTCCTGACGTCCAGGGTGTGCAACCTGCATTCCTATTCCAACTTATGAAACTTCGGGAAGAAGGCAGGTAAGTATATGTCCTGGCTGGTAAGAAACTGGGAAACTACCTTGGGCAGGAATGCCGGGTGCAGCCGCAGTTGGACCTTATCCTTATAGAATACCGTATAGGGTGGTTCTGAAGTAAGTGCCATGATCTCAGACACCCTGAGGGCAGATGTTATCGCAACCAAGAACTAAACCTTTCAGGGAAGTCCCATGAGCTGTGACGGCACAAGATTCAAGTCCCAGGGAGGGACAGGATCCCGGACATGAAGGTAGAGACCCTCCAAACCTTTCAAAAACTGGGCCGACATGCTATGAGCGAAGACTGACCTGCCTTGGAACAAAGGATGAAAGGCCAAAATAGTGGCCAGGTAGACCCTGATCGATGACAGGGACAAACCTTGGAGTTTGAGGTGCAGAAGATAATCCAGGATCGCCTTCAGCGAGGCCCAGATACATTGTTCTGAGGCTCTACACGTGAACCTTTTCCACTTGGCCACGTAAGTCACTCTGGTGGAGGGTTTTCTGCTACCCAACAAGACATGTTGAACCCAGGGAGAGCATTCCATTTCTTCTGCATTCAGCCATGCTGTCAAGTGCACCACCACCAGGTTTGGGTACAGAAGACTACCGTGGTTCTGGGACAACAGGTCTGGCCACAGAGGGAGCTCCAGTGGGGCAGCTACCAAAAGATCCAGCAGCGTGCCGAACCGGTGCTGTCGAGGCCATGCGGGGGCTAACAGGATAACCTTCTCCCTGTCCTGTTTGATCTTCACGAGGACTCTATGAATCAGACGGCACTGGTGGAAAGGCATACATCAGGGCCCCTGACCATGGGAGCAGAAAGGCATCTGATAGGGAGCCCTTGTCCATCCCCTGGATCTGACAGAACACATGGAATTCTCTGTTCTGCATTGACATGAACAGGTCAACCTGGGGAGTCCCCCCACCTCTGGAAGATTACGCTTACCACCTCCGGATAGAGCAACCACTCGTGGCGAAAGGAGGAAGTCCTGCTGAGGTGATCCACCAGCAGGTTCCAGGCGGATCTGGTTCCAGGCAGGTGCGTAGCTATCAGACGAATGGCATGCCATACATAAAAATCACAAAAACCTGAGAGCTTCTTGACAAAGAGCCGAAGACTGGCACCGCGCTGCCTGTTGATGTAATACATCGTGGCGGTGTTGTCCATCAGGACCTGCATCACCTTGCCCTTCAGGTAGGGCAAGACCACTTGGGAGGCCAGGCAAACTGCTCTGAACTCCCTGACGTTGATGTGGAGGGCCAGATGATCTCACAACCAGCAGCCCTGAGTGCTCAGTTCACCCAGGTTGGCTCCTCAGCCCAGGTCTGAAGCATCAGAGACCAGGATCAGCGACGAGGATGTGGTCACGAATGGGACTCCTTCCAACACCAATCCAGGGTCCACCCGATGCGGTCCAGCACCCTGACTTCCCAGTCCAGGTTGTGTCTGTTGGGAATGTAGACAGATGCCAGGCACGCTTGTAGGGGCCAGAGATGGAGCCAAGCATGGCTGACCATGTACACACTCACAAACATGTGGCCCAACAGCCACAGGCAGGTGTGAGCCATGGTGCGTGGGTGGTTTCACATGAGAGATCAGGTCCAACATGGCCTGAAAACACACTTCTGGAAGGAAGGCTCTGGCTCACGTGGAGTCAAGAACCGCCCCAATGAACTCTATTCGCTGGACGGGCATTAAGGTGGATTTTTTCTCGTTTATTAACAGGCCCAGGTTGCAGCAAGTGGAATGCACCAGATTGAGGCTCCTCTGAACTTGCTCCCAAGACCTGCCCTTGATGAGCCTTTCGTTGAGATACGGCAAGACCTGGACCCCTCAGAGTCTCAGGTAAGCAGCCAATGGCACCATACATTTTGTGATCACCCTGGGGGCCGATGAGAGACCAAAGGGCAGCACTGAGAATTGACAATGGCACCCACCCACTAGGAAACGGAGGAAGCATCTGTGACCTGGGATTATGGAAATATGGAAATAAGCGTCCTTTAAGTCAAGGACAGTATACCAGTCTCCTGGATCCAGGGAGGGGATGATGGAGGCCAGGGAGATCAGGCAAAACTTCAACTTTTTGAGACTTGTTGAGTCGACACAGGTCCAGGATGGGTATGAGGCCCCCTTTTGCCTTCAGAATTAGGAAGTAGCAGGAATACAACCCTTTCCCTTTCATGTCCCAAGGGACCTGATGAGGTTCAACAAGAACAAGTGCAGAGTCCTGCACTTAGGACGGAAGAATCCAATGCACGGCTACAGACTAGGGACCGAATGGCTAGGCAGCAGTTCTGCGGAAAAGGACCTAGAGGTGACAGTGGACGAGAAGCTGGATATGAGTCAACAGTGTGCCCTTGTTGCCAAGAAGGCCAATGGCATTTTGGGATGTATAAGTAGGGGCATTGCCAGCAGATCGAGGGACATGATCGTTCCCATCTATTCGACACTGGTGAGGCCTCATCTGGAGTACTGTGTCCAGTTTTGGACCCCATACTACAAGAAGGATGTGGAAAAATTGGAAAGAGTCTAGTGGAGGGCAACAAAAATGATTAGGGGACTGGAACACATGACTTATGTGAGGGAGGGAACTGGGGATGTTTAGTCTACGGAAGAGAAGAATGAGAGGGGATTTGATAGCTGCTTTCAACTACCTGAAAGGGGATTCCAAAGAGGATGGCTCTAGACTGTTCTCAGTGGTAGCAGATGACAGAACAAGGAGTAATGGTCTCAAGTTGCAGTGGGGGAGATTTAGGTTGGATATTAGGAAAAACTTTTTCACTAGGAGGGTGGTGAAACACTGGAATGCGTTACCTAGGGAGGTGGTGGAATCTCCTTCCTTAGAAGTTTTTAAGCTCAGGCTTGACAAAGCCCTGGCTGGGATGATTTAGTTGGGGATCGGTCCTGCTTTGAGCAGGGGGTTGGACTAGATGACCTCCTGAGGTCCCTTCCAACCCTGATATTCTATGATTCTATGACCTCCTCCACTGCACTCAGGCACAGGTTCTCGACCCCCTGAAAGAGGAGTTGCTGGTGAGAAAGGTCCCTGAAAAGGGATGGGAAAGAGAGGGGGTGGCAGGGAAGGGCAGCTGAAAATTGCAGGGTATATCCCCAAGATATTATGTCCAGCATCCAGCAGTCCAAGGTGACCTGCAACCAGGCTGAATGGTAGGATGAAGAAGGTCAAGGAAAGGACAGCGTGGATCCAGGGAACTGACTGGGGCATCTATCTTGATTGCACCTTCAAAATGAGCACCTCTGGCCCTCAGGATGCTTTGCTGGGCTGGACTGCATGAGTGAGTGGGAGGAGGATGGGCGGTGACAACTAAAACTCGTGCCTCTATCCCTTCTCCTAGCAGAACCCGACGAGGCTGCCAAAGTCTGGGCGGTGGGGGCGGCCAGAACTGCTTCCGTGCAGACTGCAACATATTCGTGCTCAGCGAGCAAAGAGTGGCCCGAGTGTCCTTCAACCCATGCAGTCTCGCATCTGTTTATTCAGAGAAGAGACCATTCTTATCAAATGGAATGTCATGGATCGAGGTCTGCATCTCTTGGGAAAGGCCAGCGGTCTGAAGCCAGGAGCTGTGCCTCATAACCACCGCTGACGCAACCAACCTAGCCAATGAGTCCACTGCATCTCATACCATTTGGAGGGAGCACCTAGCAGCCGCGGTGCCTTCCTCCACCAGGATGCCTAATTCTTGGGCCAAACCCTGTGGAAGGGACTCCTTTAACTTAAAAGTGTACCTGCCCAAGAGGGTCTGGTGATTCGCCACCCGGAACTGCAGGCTGGCAGTGGAATAAATTTTCCTCCCAGAAAGTTCCAGTCTTTTGGCCTCTTTATTTTTGGGTGTTAAGCTAGTGTGCCCCTGCTTGTCTTTTTCGTTGGCCACAGAGACAACCAGTGAGCCCAGCGGTATGTGGGTATAAAGGTACTTGAACCCTTTGGCCAAGACAAGGTACTTCTTTTTGGTCCTTTTGGAGGTGAGAGGAATGGAAGATGGGGTTTGCCAGAGGGCCTTGTCCAGTTTGAGGACCCCGTCATGCACTGGTAGTGCAACACAGGCCAGGTTAGAGGCTGAGAGGACATTGAACCAGGTTTCCACCTGCTCGGACATCTCCATCTCTAGGCCCAACTTCTCGACCACCTATCAAAGTAGGGCCCGGTGTGCTGGCCCTTGAGAGTCCTGTGACTGCCTCATCTGGAGATGAAAATGATGATGACTGTACCATCGGGGGAAGCCCTGGGACATCATCCCCCGTGGGGGCTAGAGGTTTAGGGGTGGGTGCAGTCTCTTCTACCCTGACGTCCAAGCGCTACTGGCGCACCGAGCTCTGTGCCATCACTGCCGCCAACTGTTGCTCCAAGGCAGCGGCAGATGAGTGGTGTGAAGGGGGCACTGTCATGACCAGCACATGTGCTCCAATAAGGCCACTGCACAGGCCATGCTGCCAGGCAGTGCCGTCGATGTCAACACTGCCTCAGGAACCAAATCACGCCGGTTGAATCTGGGAAAAGGGCTGAACTGCCCTTCCATGCTGGAGGAATCCCCTTCTGGTGACCACAGTGGGGCCACTGCTGCCTGCATCTGCCTGCTGATCATCGCCACCAGAGACCAGTGCCTGGAGTGAGAGGATCAGTGCTGGTATGAAAGGGACCGGTGCCGGGGGGACCGGAGTCGTGATGGGCAGTGCTCCCACGGGGCAGGCGACCAAGATCTGTGCTGAGAGGATGACGGGCAGGAGGGTGAATGCTGCCGGTAATATGGAGACTGGCGCCTCCCCTTTGGCAATCCGTGTCAAGATGGTGGGGACCGTGATCACCATGCCAGAGATTGAGGGCGAGCCCCAGAGGATCTGGGCTGTGACTCCGGAGATCTGTGGCATGGCGGAGAGCTCTGCCTCGTCTCAGGGGATCACCGATGCTCCACTGTCTCCTGAAGGCTCTTAGCGGCTGGCTTGCCCTTGTGGGAAGCCTTTGCCATTTGCTGGCGGTGCAGGTGGAGGCTTCTGCTCTCTTGGCACTGGGGGGAGCTTGGGAAGGTGTCTCTTGTCCTTCATATGTAATTTCCCCAGCACTCGAGGCAGCTGCTGCGGGGGTCACTTACAGATATAGGCCTGTTATAGTCAGTGCATGGTTTCAGCCTGGGGTGAAATCCCTGCTGGGACTCTAATGTCTAACTACACTTAAAAACTACTTAACACTATTATAAAAAAAACTATTTAGAAGGTCCTGTTAAGGAAAAGTTAGCACATGTGACTCCATTTTGGTTTGGGGCCCACTATTGTTTAAATGCCAGCACATCATACACCAGGAGGAGTAATCCTTAGATATTGAATCCCTGTGAAAATCCTCCTCCTTGTCTCCAGCCTGCCTTGACTCCCAGTATCTGGTTTTTGTCAGTCTCTAACTCCCTGTCTCTTGGCCTTGATGTGAGGCCTCCCATCCTGATAATAAAAGTTACTGATGCATGGCTTTAGGACCATGCTGTGTAATTAACATACTGGTATAGCACGAGGAATGCACCAAGCAGGGATAGGTGGTAGATAAGACAAAGGTTTGTTTATTGGCTAAGGTTTCCGATGCACGAGGGCAACATGCTTTGCTAAAAGGTATATAACCTTTGTATAATCTGCATTCAGGGTCCCCTCCTGGCTAGCAGGGGTAACCACGCTCGAGCGTAATAAACTTAGTGTCTTTTGGGAACTCTGCAGTTGTGGACTTTGTTTCTGTGCCTCAGCCTAGGTTCGAACTGTGCGTGTCCTACCAGGTGTAATTCGCAGCACTGGTGTGCGTGTCCTACCAGGTGTAATTCGCAGCACTGGTGTGCGTGTCCTACCAGGTGTAATTCGCAGCACTTGTGTGCGTGTCCTACCAGGTGTAATTCGCAGCACTTGTGTGCGTGTCCTACCAGGTGTAATTCGTAACAGTCCTAAGAAGAGACTAAACTGCTAGCCCTTACTATGCAAGGAAAGGCGCTCTGACTAACCACCACGGGTAGTAAGAAGGAACTGAGAGGCCATAGGGCCGGCAGCACCTGATATACCAACACATGAACACGGCAATCAAGGGGGCACCACATCTGGCCCTACGGATACCACTAAGGCAAAAATCTTCAACAACTGCGCATATGGGCACGCACATACCTAGAATGAAATCAACATGAGCAAGCACTCAAAGAAGAAAAGATGGCTCTTGCCCCAAAGATCTTACAATCTAAATACGTGACAAGAGACAACAAGCAGACAGGATGAATACAAGATAACTATGAAATAATTATGATTAGCATAACTAACGGTCAAGCACACCATCTGTCTAGTAATTGAAAAAGTGTTCTGTATGCACCATGACAGGAGTGAGTTTTCAGGAGGGATATGATGGATGACAATGTAATGGCTACACTTTGATATATAAGGGGCAGCATGGAAGAAACTGTGAAGCTGTTTGAGGAAAAATCAGAACCATGGACAAAAAGGCTGACAATGTTGGCAGAGCAAAGGTGGGGTCAGATGCTCAACATCAAATAAAAGTCTACAGGTATGGCAGAGTTAAGTTGTGAAGGGGCTTAAAAATGAAGACACGCAGTTTTTGTTTGTTGATGAAGAAAAGGAGAAAAGTCAAGCTGCCATCAGGAAGAAAGGTGGCTCTGTGAGTTAGTAGCCACCATCCTCAATGAGGGCATCTTGGCTTCACCCTCAGTGGGAACAATGGAAGGCAGTAGACATTTGAAAGAGAGCATCTTTCTGATAGCAACCTGCAGCTTCACACCAGTGGAGGGAAATCGTAAGAGGCAAATTCTGCCCTCAAATATACATGGAGCTCTCAATAAGACAGATCCAAATTATTTCTGTATTGGGTCCACAATCACTGAATATTCAAATACTCACTTCATCTGTAAGAAACTCCTTACTCAGACCAAAGTCTGTCAGCACAACATGGCCATTAGAATCAAGTAGAATATTCTCAAGTTTTATATCTCGATATATAATGCCCAACTGCAAACAAACATAAAAACAGTAATATAACATTGATCTGGAAATGCTAAGATATGTTAAAGAATGTTTCTAAATTTGGATCTAGCAAAAGTGATTAAAAATCCCAGATACAAAACTATGTTAAATTCTCTCAACCTTCACTAAATTTAATCAGTTTTTTAGAGGTAAAATATGTTACAATAATGTTGTAATTATCCCAAAAATAATCACCACAAACTCAGTAAAATTCAAAGTTAAGGTTAAATTTAAAAGAAATCCAAATATGTTAAGGTATGGAAATACACAGTTACAGAATCCAAACCTCAACTCCACCCTGTCATGACATTATACTATACAAGTATAAATCCATAATAGGATTTGCAGTCCCAGATTATAATAAACTGATTTTTAAGAGCGATTTGATTATATTTTTTTTGTTCACAGTATCACTACAGGGCAGAGTAATGTTTTTTGGATGCTTGACAAGGCATTATCACAGCTTAACACCTCTAGATTTCTTTTAAATTTAAAACTGAACTCTGAATTTCCTTGGTTTGTAATAGTTCTTTTTGGGATCATTACAGCATTCTTTTTGGTTTTACCCTTAAAATTACTGCTATGCACTCTTTGCTTCAGTTTAACAGTTTTTAGCCTGGGACTTTCCTTTTTTTCTTCTTCTTCCAATTAAAATTTTTATAAATGGTCACTAAACAAGAAAGCTAGAGAGAACATGACTATGCAATCTAATGATTTTGGTTTTTAGATTGAACAATATGCTCTGGGTGCTTCATCCATTGAGGAGCAACACAAAACATCCAGAATGTATTGGCCAGGTCCCGCACCTCACCATTTCCTAACCTCCACATTCCCCTGCTTTTACTTACACATACCAATTTCCTTGGTCTATCCTGTGCTGCAAATTCCCTTGCACAACACCCCAGCATTTCCCCCTTGTTACAATTTCATAGAAATTGAGCGATCCAGTGCAAAGAAGAGATTTTGAAAATAAGTGTTTAGGATTAATAGTGCCTATTTATTTTTTCTTCAGCAGAGGCTGAAAATTAATGTTCTTTTACAGAGAATTCCAAGATGACCTTCCGTCTTAAAATAGCTGCCATCTCTTACTGTTCTCAATGGGTGTGAAGCTCTAAGTTACTATTAGTAAAGATCCCTTGTTTCAAAATGGTGATTACTTCCCACTGTCCCCAACAAGCATGAAGTCAAGCTGCCATCAGAAAGAATGGTGGCTCTGTGAGTTAGTAGCCACCATCCTCAATGAGGGCATCTTGGCTTCACCCTCAGTGGGAACAATGGCAGGCAGTAGACATTTGAAAGAGAGCATCTTTCTGATAGCAACCTGCAGCTTCACACCCACTGAGAACAGTAAGAAATGGCAACCCTCATTTTGAAAGAGGGCGGATTGTGAAGGACATGGGCTAATCTGTATTAATTTATGAATACTCTATGTTTTATATGAATGATTGTTGAATGAAATAGGTACTTGGTAGCTATACTAGGTTAATGGGAACTGAATGCATAGGTTAGTTCATTTTAATACTAGGCTGTTCAAAAAACAGTCAGGAACACAAGACAATGAGTGCAAATAAGCTACAAAAACAGCACAAGAAGGCTGAGCAATTACCTGTAAATATCCCACTTACAGGCTCCAGCCAAGAGTTACATTGCTGTTCTGCCAAGGCTGGAACCTAAAGACCAAAAGGACACTAAACAGTTAAAGTGACTCTCTAGAGAGAAAGAGGTGTGAGTTGTCGGGGATGCTTACACGGAGCAGTCCAAAACAGAGACCAATTCTGTGAGAGGGTCTGACTAAGTTTTGCTATCTGGCTACCATCAGGGGAATGGTAGTCTAGACAGGCATTTGGACTGTTTAGTGGGCTCAAATTCTCTCTCTTACGCAGAGCGATGTTCCTATTGTTAAAGATAAGCAATACATTGTTTTTGAGAAGGTCACTGTATATTAATTGCTTGTCAAAGCCCTGAAGGAAAGACCTGCAGGGCTCAGTAAATTAGGCCTACTGAGTGAGAGGGCTGTGCACTTGGAGAGACTGAGAGGGGTTCCAGGTGCAGTTAAAAAGGTAACTGTGACACAGGTCTTCATGGAATTTTCTGTAGAAAAATACTGTTTTTCAGCCTCTGCTGAAAAAAATATTTCAGTTATGAAAAAACAAACAAGAAATGACTTACTCCTACATACATTTCTTCAAATGTCGGCAATGCATGAGATTTCAACATTTTAACTATATGGGAGGTTTACTCCATGATTAAGACCATTCAGGACCCCCAAAAAATCCAAAGCAAAGATTCTTAAAGGACCCATTTTAAATTTAACTTGTAAACTAATTAAATTACTTACTTGTAGATTCTGAGAAACAGCATTCTGTACTAAACGAGTGTTGTAATTTAGGGGAGTATACACTGTACTCTTCAGATATAAGAAAGTGGCTGAATCCCTACTTTTAAGTGCAAAACTGAATTCAACCTTAATAATGGAACCATCTGCTTCTATATACATAAGAATATAGATTCCTGACTGATCTGCAGATTATGTAAGATTCCATAAATACAATGCAGGAGCCAGTTATGCTACAGCAGGCTGCAAGGCAATTTTGCTCACATAAACTTCCACTCTCTTTGCATCATTAAAACATCAATTCATCAGAGACCGTGCTATTAGTATTAATACGTCTTACGCTCCTAAAGCTCAGGCTTCAAAGTTTCAGCCGGACACCTGCAGGGATCAGGAAGGGAGTCCCCCTCTCCCCCAATGTATTCTTGGAGGTTTGGGATTTTTTATTTAAATCTTCTTCTGAAGTATCAGAGATGGCCATAGCTGGAGATGGGACATTAAGCAGGATAGGCCAGGGGCCCAAGGAGGCATTGAGCATTCTGTCTCTCAGGTACTTGGGCTGACTGATTCTTGTTCAAATGCTCAGGATCTACCTGATTGCCATATATGGGGCTGGGAAAGAATCTTCCACCAGGTCAGATTGCAAAGGAAGTTGAAAACCCCCCAAGATCACTGCTAATATGTGGATGTGTGTCGCTTGCTTAATCACTTACAAACCATTGCAGGGGCCTCAAGCACTGGTGCACCTCAGTCTCTCCTACCCTCTGCCTGTGGCACATAATAGTCTAGTCTTCTCTGGGCTGTAATACTGTGATCTGATTTCGGTTGTTGGGTGGCCTGTGATGTACAGGACAGACTAGATGATCTGGTGATTCCTTCTGGCCTCACGCTCTCTGCCTCATGTACAAAAAAACTAGAGTCTTGGCCTCTACTCTATCACCTAGCCAAAATAAGGAGCTGAAAGTGCAAACATTTTCATTATAGCCTCTCCCCTGGGAAGAACAGGTGGGCTGTTTTACTGAAGACCACGAACATATATATTGTTCACTAATACCAAAATTTTCAAAACTTGGCTGTCTAGAGGTAGGCTCTGTGACAGGGCACTGTTAGTAGCTATAAACTACCTGGTCACTTAGAACTCCGTGGTCACCAGGTGTAGTTAAGAGTAGGAGGGACTTAGGTAGTTTGGGGTTGGAAGAGTAGAAAACAACACTTGCACCTGTTGGGAGCCTTATGAAGATAATTGGCTCACCATCTTGATAGCTCTGAGAAGAAAGCCAGCCATATAAAAGGCTAAGCCAGAGAGCAGGAAAGGGGCTGTACATAACTGTGGCTGTGTTGTGATTTATCTGCAGCATAAACAGCAATAAAGAGACACTTGGTTGAGGTACCTGCTGGAATTAACCATGTTGCTTAGTTCACAAAGAGGGCTTACCAGCCATGGTTTCCAGGATCTGAAGGGGGAGCTCATTCACAGGCCCCTAAATTTATATTTAGAATCTAAATGAAAGTGGCCTGATTTTTAGAAGTGCTGAGTCCCCAGAATGAATACTTTTTTCCTTGGTTTTCAACAGGATGATCATATGAAACATGTGCATAAAGGCAGTATGGCTGATGGAAATGAGGGTCTAGAACTGGAAACTACCAGTTACTGAGATGGGGGAAAAAAAAAACTTGAAGAGCTTAATTCGCTCAAATAGGAGGGAATGGATAATTTCCATCCCAGAACACTGAAAGAACTGGCACATGAGATTGATTTATTAAAAAAACTTTGCTACTAGATTAGCAATCTATTCAGGGAGAATATGACTGGAGAATAGTTAATGTCATACTTACATTTTTTTTTAAAAGTGATTTGGAAAATTACAGGTCTGTTAAATTAACCTTAGGAGTATGTCAGGCTTTAAAACAAATTGTGAAGAAAAGAATAATTAAATTAACGGAAATAAATGGTAAAGGGAATAGAATGCCTCACAGGTTTACCAAACGTAGATCATGCCAAACTAACCTGATCTACTACTTTGAGAAAAATAACTGATTTTTTTAGATAATGGAAAAGCAGTAGATTTAATATACTTGGACTTCAACACAGCATTTGATGTGGTGTCACATGGGAAATTAGTTTAATTAGGGAAAATGCGGATCAGTACAAGAACTGTAAGGTGGATAAGGAAATCGCTAAAGGGGAGGAAGCAACAGGTTATCCTGAAAAGCGAATTATCAGACTGAAAGGAGGTTACTTGTGGAACTCCTCAAAGATTAGTTTTGAGACCAATCTTATTCCTATTTATGACCTTAGCACAAAAAAATAGACGTGTGCTAATGAAATTTGCTGTTGATAAAGTTGGGAGGCATTGTCAATACAGAGGAGAATTGGAATATTATACATGGGGATCTGGATGTTCTTGAAGACCAGATTGGCAGAAATGGAATGAAACTCAACAGTAGAAAGTGCAAGATCGTTGAACTTAGGATCTAATAAGAACTTCTGCTGGCAGCTCATCAGCTTAAAGTGACGAAGAAGAGAGACCTAAGTGCAAGTGTCAGTCACAATATAACTATGAACCACGGCATAAGTCAGCTGTGAAATGCAGTTGAGAAAAAGGCGATATTAATAGGTTTCATGCAGGGCATTTCTAGTAGAGATAAAGAATTAATGCCATCGTACAAGGTACTGGTAAGACCTCATTTGGAATACCGTGTACAGTTCTGCTCACTCATGTTCAAGAAAGATTAATTTAAACCAAAACAGGTGCCGAGAAGAACTGCTAGGATGACCAGAAGAATGGAGGGCCTATCTTTTGATAGGAGATTAAAGAGTTTGGCTTGTTTAGTCCAGCAAAAAGAAGGCCGAGAGGGGATATGACCGCTTTTTAAAAATACATTACATGGTAAATACAGGGGAGGGAGAAAAACTATTTAAGCTCAAGGACAATGTTGGCACAAGAACAAATGGATATAAACTGGTCATGAAAAAATTCAAGCTGGGAAATTACAAGGTTTCTAACCATCAGAGGGGTGAGGTTCTGGAACAGCCTTCCAATAGGAGCTGTAGGGGTAAACAACTTACTTAGCTTTAAGACAACTAGACACATTTATGAGTGTGACTGTATGAGGGGGGTAGCTTACGATGGTAGTAGGCAGGACTCCGAAGCCCTGCGTCTCACTTCGGGTTTATGCCATATGTTCTTAAAAGCTTATTCTTCAGGGTTTCAGCCAGAGACTTGCAGGGGTCAGGAAGGGATTTCCCTCCCCTACAATGTATTCTGGTTTTTCGCTGTTGTTTTTTATCTCCTTCCTCTGAAATATCAGGATGGACACAGCTGGAGATGGGACATTAGATGGGGAGGTACAGGGCTCTGTGGTGGCACCAGACATTCTCTCTCTCAGGTGCGTGGCTGGCTGGTTCTTGTTCATGGTCTCACTGATTGCCACATGTGGGGTGGGGAAGGACTTTTTCTCCAGATCACATGGGCAGTGGTCTTGGGTTTTTTTCCACCTTCCTCTTCAGTGTGAGGGTGCAGGTTACTTGCGAGGATGATCTGGGTATATCTTGCTTAATCATTTCAGGAGCCCTCAAGCACTGGTGCACCTTGCTCCATTCTATTCTCTGCATATAACAGTCTAGTCTTCAGTGGGCTGTAATACTTTGGTTTAATTTCGGGTGTTGGGTTTAGTGTGCAGGTGCTGGATAGTGCTGGTGTATTGTGATATACACAAGGTCAGACTAAACAATCTGGCGGTCTCTTCTGGCCTTAAAGTCTATGACTTACAAATCCCAGTAAATTCAATGGGACATCTTTGTAAATTATGCCTCACTTAGGTGCCTAAATAGGAAATTGGGTATCTAATTTTAGGCCTCAGATTTGAAAATTTTAACCTATAATTTTAATGAAAGGAGACAGTGATAAAAATTGACTGCAGACATTTCTGTCCTTTATGCTGAAAGAAAATGAGAGTCATAATGACATTTCATGTGTGGAAAGAAGTACTATTTGAAATGGAGATATTCAGAAAGCAACAACCAATTGGCAAAATAACAAATACTGACTCTAGAGGCAGAGAGTAGACTCTAGTCTTAATCGGTGCACAGATACAACAACTGAATACGTAATAAAGGAAGATGTATTTATAATTCATTAAATAATTAATATTTAAAATTGGTGTATATAATCATGCTCTATATATTTAAACAAAAAAATTAAGTCCTTTTTATTTTTTATATAATCATGAAGATGTACCTAACAAGAAAGCATTGATGGAAAAAACTGTCTTACCTTGTGCAGGTGTTCAAGAGCCAGTACAATTTCTCCAATGTATATCTGTACCTCATTTTCTGTAAATCTCTCTCTTTGAGAAAGGTGAGTAAAAAGTTCTCCTCCATTTATATAGTCTATAAATAAAAACAGATAATCTAGTAATTTTACTTTCTTTTAAAAGTTTTTTTAAAAATTATTTTGACATATTACCATTTCTTGAAAAAAAAAAACAAATGTTCTGAACTAGATGCTTTTATTGTATTTTAATAATATTTTACATGTACGTATACAGGTTTTTATACATACATATACAGCACTTGAAATCCCTTGAGGAAGGAATATGAGAAACTTTATAGAGTTTAAAATCCAAGGCCCAAAATTAAAGTTTCCCTTAAGTAGACTTTTCACACAGCAGTTCAGTAATAGCAAAAACCTATTTATCTCACAAGTACAAAAGGCAAATTACAAAGAATTTTCTTTTTAAAGAGTCAGTCTTTCATTTATTTACCAAGAGGCTTAGAAAAGGAATACAAGACCTACAAACATCACATTTATGCACACTTATAAAAGAGGGAAGAACAAGGGAGCAGAATCTTCAGTTAACTTTGTACAACATAAGCAGTGCAAAATTATGTAGCACAAAGCAGGCTCAAAAAGTCTGGAGACAGCCAGTGAAGAATTCCCCCTATGCAGGAGAAAATTCTGCTGACAGGAAGTATCAGAGGAACTTTCTCCTCATGTGCCATCACCACCCCCTTTTGCACTGCGCAGGCATGGAACACGGTATTTTGGACAGGAGGTGTTCCAAAACTGGGAAGGGAAGGAAAGGGTGTAGTAGCAGAGTTCTCCAAAGGCGTAAGGCTCCCTGAGGAACAATCACATCCTCATCGGTTTATGTGTGCTCTGAGAATGCTACTGGATCAGACACTACGGAACCCGAACCATCAAAAAAGAAAATCTGCTGGTGGCATCTGACTCAGATGATGAAAATGAGCATGTGTTGGTCTGCACTGCTTTGGATTGTTATTGAGCAGAACGTGTCACCAGCATGGACGCATGTCCTCTGGAATGGTGGTTGAAGCATGAAAGGATATATGAATCTTTAGCACATCTGGCACGTAAATATCTTGCGACACCAGCTACAACAGTGCCATGAGAACACCTATTCTCACTTTCAGGTGACATTGTGAAAAAGAAGCTGGCATCATGGTCTCCTGCAAATGTAAACAAACTTGTTTGTCTGAGCGACTGTCTGATCAAGAAATAGGACAGAGTTGACTGTAGGCTCTAAAGTTTTACATTGTTTTATTTTTGAATGCAGTTCTTTATATTGTACATAATTCTACATTTGTAAGTTCAACTTTCATGATAAAGAGATTACACTACACTTCTTTTATTAGGTGAATTGAAAAATACTATTTCTTTTGCTTTTTTATAGTGCAAATATTTGTAATCAAAAATAAATATAAAGTGAGAACTGTACACTTTGTATTCTGTTATAATTGATCAATATATTTGAAAATGTAGAAAACATCCAAAATATTTAAATTAATGGTATTCAACTAGTTTAACAAGTGTGATTAATTGAGCAATTAATCGCGATTAATTTTTTATTGAGCGATTAATCGCGATTAATTATTTTAATCGCTTGGCAGCCCTAATGTAAAGCAAGCAAAAGATACTGCTACTGCTATAGTAGTATGAGAACTTACAACAGAATGCACACAAACTGTCATTAACTTGTAACTTTCAATGATAGGTTAAACAGTGCATCAGGAGATATGTGAGCAAACATACTGTGACCCATATGATTCTTAGAATAAGAAACAAACAACGTAAATGATTTCCTAAAAAGCAGTTTTATTTAAATAGAATCATAGAATATCAGAGTTGGAAGGGACCTCAGGAGGTCATCTAGTCCAACCCCCTGCTCAAAGCAGGACCAGTCCCCAGTGTTTGCCCCAGATCCCTAAATGGCCCCCTCCAAATAATAGGTTTAGAACTCTCTTCATGTATCTAAGAACTGTCCCTGCTGAGACATTCTGCCAGCACATGGTTCTCCCCTGCTAAAGGACAGACATTGTGAAGAATGCACAAATCCCCTAATGGCTGCTTCAGCACATAACTGTGAAGAGTCAGCACCCCTTTGCTCGTTAATGTAACACATAGTGGACGTATTGTCCATTGCTTGAGGAAGTAAAGATCAAACTAATGGCTCTTAACTCCAACACGTTTATAAGCAAGCTCTTTTCCTGAGAAGCCCAGTGGCCCTGAACTGTAAAATGACCCAAATGCACTCCTCATCCAGTGTGTGATGCATCTGAAGTTATCAAGACCAATAGTGAAGGGGAATTACACAGGATGTCTCTGAGGACATCTGATTTGTCTGTCCACCACATCAATGAATTGAGAACATCTTGAGGCAGAGTGACAAACATCTGAGGGCTGTCCAGACTGGGTGTATAAAATTTGAGACATCAGTGCTGCCTCAGCCTCATCCTGAGACAAGCAAATGGAGTTATGTCAGTGGCAGCTGCCATCAAACCCTTGAGACCCAGAAAGAAGACCACTTTCTGAGTTTGACGGGTTAGACTTTCCAAAATAAAGGGGCTCTATTTTCAGAAACCTATCATCTGGGAGAAAAGCTTTTGCTCCTACTGAGTTCAAAATAGAGCCTATGAAAAGAATTCTCTGGATTGGGTAAAGATTTGATTTTTTTTGAGTTCTGAAATAGACCCAGATCCAAAACAAGGGAGGCTGAAAACTCCTGTGAAGTAACAGCTCTTTGTGTGTAGCTGCCATTAGCAAACTATTGGCCAAATATAAGTCAACAACAATACCCTAACTCTCTCAGATGTGCTGCTACCACAGAAAGGCACTTTAGTGCTGTGCTCAGGCCAAACGGGAAGACTTTATACAAAAATCCCACGTACTCATATGAAATGAAGGTATTGTCAATCATTCCGAAGGACAGAAATATGAAAATATGTGACCTTTAAATTGAGAGTCACAAACCAACCCATAGTTAGAAGCAAGGGAATTATGGATGCTTAGGATTCACATATGAAGACAGAATTTATCTGCTCAATTTTCTTAAATCTAGAATGGTACAAAAACGCTCATCTTTTTTCTGTGCCAAGAAATATCTTGGATAAAACTCCCAACCCTACAGATGTTTGGGTACGTCCTCAAGAGCCCCTATCAGGAGCAGTTTCCGTATTTCTGAAAGTATAATAGCCTCGTGAGTAAGTCCCCTGAAAAAAGGAAGAATAGAGGGAACTGAAAAGAGGTAAGTTTTGAAAATGAATGGTATAGCCCTTTTTTAAACAATTTCTACGGCCCCTTGTCCAATTGTTCATAAAAGAAGACACAGATCCTCACATCAAATCTGAGATCTTGTGTTCAAAAGAAGAAAAGGAGTACTTGTGGCACCTTAGACTAACCAATTTATTTGAGCAGAAGCTTTCGTGAGCTACAGCTCACTTCATCGGGTGCATACTGTGGAAAGTACAGAAGATCTTTTTATACACACAAAGCATGAAAAAAATGGGTGTTTACCACTACAAAAGGTTTTCTCTCCCCCCCACCCCACTCTCCTGTTGGTAATAGCTTATCTAAAGTGATCACTCTCCTTACAATGTGTATGATAATCAAGGTGGGCCATTTCCAGCACAAATCCAGGGTTTAACAAGAACGTCTGGGGGGGGGGGGTTAGAAAAAACAAGGGGAAATAGGCTACCTTGCGTAATGACTTAGCCACTCCCACTCTCTATTCAAGCCTAAGTTAATTGTATCCAATTTGCAAATGAATTCTAATTCAACAGTCTCTCGCTGGAGTCTGGTTTTGAAGTTTTTTTGTTGTTATATCACAACTTTCATGTCTGTAATCGCGTGACCAGAGAGATTGAAGTGTTCTCCGACTGGTTTATGAATGTTATAATTCTTGACATCTGATTTGTGTCCATTTATTCTTTTACGTAGAGACTGTCCAGTTTGACCAATGTACATGGCAGAGGGGCATTGCTGGCACATGATGGCATATATCACATTGGTGGATGTGCAGGTGAACGAGCCTCTGAAAGTGTGGCTGATGTGATTAGGCCCTGTGATGGTGTCCCCTGAATAGATATGTGGGCACAGTTGGCAACGGGCTTTGTTGCAAGGATAGGTTCCTGGGTTAGTGGTTCTGTTGTGTGGTATGTGGTTGCTGGTGAGTATTTGCTTCAGGTTGGGGGGCTATTTCTTTTTGCGAATACAGACTAACACGGCTGTTACTCTGAAACCTGTGTTCAAAAGGAGGGAGCAGGCTATTTTGTCTTAGGTCTGGATCTGAAAGACCGCTTTTTTGTACTGGCTCTGAAAAAAGACTAAGCTTGCAGATGCTGTTGCTGACATCTCTGATATAAGGAAAAATAAGTAGACTACCTTGCATTTTCCTGGTAAGTTCACTGCGGTGGTGAAATATATCGGCAAGGTAGGCATGGTTTGCACACCATGCCACACCAGCAATTAAGTCCGTGTATGCTGATTCCTCCAAAGCTAAGAACGTTTTTAACTCTTCTTTCAGCTCATAAAAACATGAGAAAAATTTTCCGTGGAAAATCCAGTGTATTTCTGTGTGCAAAAGTAAACTCTGGTGTTCTGATCCCACTTCATCACACAACAGTGAGAAAAGGCCACATTTTAAGAACCATGATTTTATTAAGTTGACTATCTTTCCTGCTCTAACGCTAAGGAAAGTTCTTCTGGCAGTGTTTTGGCCATAAGAGCGTCACGGTGCTGGAAAAAGTGGGTCACCAGCACATCTGGGTTTTGTTCTTTAGCCTTGTTTAAAAACCCTTCACTTTGCCAGTCTTGGGGGCAGTCCTGTCTGTGCAAACACTAAGACAATTTTTCCATTGCAATTCTCCCTCCTCAAGGTTCCTCTGCAGGTATGTGACCTGGCAGTTGTCTGAAAAATAAAATAACATTCTTTTATACTATTTCCATCAACTTACCTGATGTTAGCTAAGAGTTGAGCATGACCCATCTGCCGATTCATCAAGTTACAGCACAAATTTTCCTCTTGATCTGACTTTTTGCCTCAGAGCACAGTTTCAATGTCAGCTGATCTCATCAATGCGGTGACTTATATTATCTGAAAGGGGAACTTCTGCAATTTCATTGACTGCATTTGCATCTAACATTACTCTCATCATTTCTTGGCATGCTAGTAAAACTGATGTTTCTTCGACTGCGTGCAGCTTTTTCGCCTTCACTACAAACTCAGCAACCAAGCAGCTTGCTTCCAATGGTTTATCAGAAACTATGACATAGCCTTTAATCATTTGCACTTGTTTTTCATTTTGATCCTTCAAATGTTCCAAAAAAATTGCCCTTGTTCACAAGGGATAGATGTTTGCTTGTAAGGTGTCATTTTAACTTACTTGGCAAACTTGCATGGTTTGAGACTTTTGCCCCACACATAATACTGATGAAGAGAGCAAGATGGTTCACCTGTAAACAAAAATCCAAACTGCAAATGCTCTCACAATAGTGTTGGCTCACAACTTTGACTTTATTATGTTCATGTTCAGCTTCATCACTGAAAGTAGATGTGGAGATGCCAAACTCTTTTCTTCAAATATTTGTCCATTTTCGGGTCTTCAATTTAAAATTCATCACTGTAACTTAATGGTTGATAAGAAAACATGGCTACCATGTGATACCACGTGAACAGCAAGGTGATTTGATTACAGTGCGTGTAACGCCTGTATCACGCACGAACACCCGAAGAGCAACAGTACAAAATGAAATTTAGTTATGACACTAATTAAAATGAGAATTTTTAGTGACTTTTGCAAAATTCCGTGGCACACCTGTTCATACCTGATGGCACACCGGTTGGGAAACACTGTAAAACTGAACCTTCTGACACCCTGCTCTTACCGTTCTGCGATTAAGTCTGCCCATTTATTTCTAGTCTTTGTTTCTCTTGGACAGTTTCTGATGTATGACAATATTTTACTTTCATACCCTTGTGAGGGACTTTGACAAAGGCCTTTTTGAAAGTCTAAGAGTAAAATTTTTCAAAGGACTTACATGACTTATTTCACCCTAAATAAACTCTCATTGAGTTTTTCTTTAGTCACTCTTATTGAAACATATAAATATTTATAATAGATCCAACAAGGCACCATCATCCTCTTCAAAAACCTTGCTGGTTCAATCCTACTGTATCATGAAGTTAGGTGTTCTATTTTTCATTATTGCTTCAACCAGTTTACCCAGTACAGAAGTAAGGGTTACGGTCTTGTAATTCCAGATCACCAATAAGTCTTCTTTAACTACAGGCAATATTTGCTACCCTTCATCCCTCTGGTTTAATAGTGGATTTTAAAAGAGAAACTCCATATTTTTGCAAGCAACTCATCACTTAATTCTTTCAGAACTTTTGGGTATGCACCATCTGGGCCTGATTGGTAAACGTAACTGTTTTTTTCTTTTGACATCTCAGTCTCTGAGAGTACTTAATCTTTTTTTTTTTTAAATCAGAAAAGAGTTGGTCCAAGCTAGATATCTCCCCAAAATCCTATGTCATGAAGACTGATACAAAGAAATTATTTAGCTTTTCAGCCATGTCTTTATCTTCTTTAATTGCTTCCTTTACAGCACCCTTTTCTGTTCGCTCCCTCTGGTGGTCCAATAGACCCACCAATTCTTGTAAGTTTCTTGTTTCTAACATACGTCAGAGAATTCTTGTGTGTTATACTTTTAATCATGTTCTTTAAATTCCATAATAGGATTCCTAAATTTCTTTAAAATCGTGAAAATGTCTGACCACACTCCAAACACCTTATTCCATGTAGTTAAACTGGAACATGTGCAGTGTCTCTTGACAAGCAGCCTTTCTGCTATTTGAACATCTTCCCTTCCCCTGGTTTTCCTTTTATTTACAGCTCACAATAAAGTCAGTGATTTAAAGACACTCCCTGCTTCCTCACATCCTCACTCCCAAATATGCACAGACAGTACACAAATATGGTGTACTATCTTTGCATGTTTGGGAGTGAGGATGTGAGGAACATTTCCCAAGTGAGTATGTTCATTCATATGATTATATCAAACTCACATAAATAAGAGTTCTTTCCCAAATATTCAAGGAAGCACAAACAGTTTGCTCGAAATTTTTCAGAAAAGCGAACAGATGACATGCAGTCATGGTTAAATCAAAAAGTGAGTCAAAATTTCCTAAAAGCTCAATAAAATGTATTTCCATTATTTGTCCGTCTTCTCAGGTTTGTCATGGCACTACAGAATTATGACACAGGGGAGTCATGGATAACAAACAAACAAACAAAAACAAAACATATATGAACAGAGTACTGAAGCTGAAACACAACAAACAAGTGCTAGATTCACAAAAGATTCTGGTGCCTAACTGCCTCTTTAGGCCCCTAAATCCCAGAATCAGACCCCAGTGAGATTCACAAAACCGTCTTTAGCTGCCGGCAAACCTCATAGGCACCTAAACTCACTTGGTGACTAAATGTGGTAAAAGTTCCCTGGGCACCCATGTTTCTGCCTGAACGCACGCAGACAGTTGCCCTGCACTAACACAAGGGGGGGGGGGCAGAATATTAAATAATGGGAAAAAATAATAAATAAAAATTAATAATCAACTTCAATCATGACAACCACTTACCTAAAATGAGATGAAGTTTTGTGTCTGTCTGGAAAGCATAGTGCAATGTGACCAAAAATGGTGATTGCCTAATATGTTCCAGTACTTGTCGTTCCGTCCTTGTATGCTCTGTTGTTTTGGCTTTTTGAATTATTGTTGCTTTTTTCAATACTTTCATGGCATACAGCTTTCCATTATCATGGCCACTTATTTTCCGCACTAGAAATACTTTTCCATAAGCTTAAAAAAAAGGGAAGAAGGGAAATTGAGATGTACAATTAATCAAAGAGAAATAGCATGAGTTTAAATTGATCATATGGTCAAATATACGTATGTTCTACAACTATATGTTTTTTAAAAAGCGCTCACACAGTTTTCAGTACTGTTTCTTGCAAAGCACTTTAATAGTTTTCTTCAGTTCTACATTAAAAACTGTATAAATGCTAAAATGCTTTGAGCCAGATTCTGCCTTCTCTTACATAACTCCTTTTAAAACAGTGGAATCATACCAGCAGAAAACAAGTATATCAGAGAGAATAATCAAACCCTCTCTCTTACAAGTGGGGCGGGGTAGCACCACATAGGAAGGTTGCCCCACATGTCGCATAATAACACTTGTTTTCATTTGCAAATAACTTTGGTAAACTTTAACCATTTGGGATGAAATTTTCCAAGTCAGGTGTCTGACTAGGAAAATACCTCAGGCTAGGTATTTTTGAACATTTCAAACAAAATGGTTCAGCTTTTTCAGAGAACAAGGCTAGAGAATAAATATTGTGGCAAATTGCCGGCACTACTTTGATGGGTCTCGCGCTTTCTCCTCTTGGGGAGGGTTCAGGGCACAGTTTCTCACCCCTGAACTGGGGTATTAACTGCCCCACTAGTGTCCTAGAGGAGGGGAGTGGAGAGGGAGGGACCCAGGCCCACCCTCTACTCTGGGTCCCAGCTCAGGGGCCCTAGGGATAGCGGTAAACCACTTGAACTAGCCATTCCTTCCCCTGGGCTACTTCCCTCTCCTGCCCTTCAGCTTGTGGAGCTTCCTGCCCTCCCTCTGCACAAACCAAGTGTCCCTTTACCTAGGGTCTTGGTCTTCTTAGCCCACAGCAGCACTTCTCCAAACTCTCCTCTGCTTCCCTCCAAACTGCTCTCTGCTCCAACGTCAATCCACTCTGCTTCAACTCCTCCAAACTGCTCTCTACTCCAACACCAATCCACTCTGCTTCGACTCCTTTCCTTGTCTGATTGAAGCAGGGGGGTTTTATCAGGTGACTGGCTTCAGGTGCTCTAATTGGCTTCAGGTCCTTTAATTAATCTCTAGCAAACTTTCTTCCCTCTACAGGGAATAAAGCTCCACTCTAACACTCTCCTGCTGCCCTCTGGCCATGCTGTATCATAATACATTGTTCTGCCCATGGTAAAAGATTCTGTCAACCTTTTCTTTGAACAGGTATTTTTATTTAACTCCTGAAAAACATTTTTGAAATGATGTTTTTGTGCAATTTTAGTTGAATTCCAATTTTCATCTAAATGGATTTTAATTTTGTTTTGCATTTGTGTTTAGTTATTTTTCTAAGGAAAACCAATCATTAGAATATGTTGATTTCCAACAGAATATAGCCATTACACTAAATTTGGTACTTTTGCTAACCAAGAGGATATACTGTATCTATACATATTTGTTAATTTACACAGATTCTTAACTTTTATTCTTTTTCATTATGTTAGAAAACTGTGAATATCATTTATTAGACGATTAACGTTTTTTTAACTGTTATTTGTGTCAAGCTACATCCATATAGAAACTGGAATTCATTAAAAATGCACACAAACATTTTAAAATGTTTTAATTAAATAAAACTACTTTGAATGTGCTGGATACATACGGGGAATAAAAGTAAAATTTATCAAAACATGTTTTGCATTTAAAACTGATTGTTTAAACAAAGGAAGCATGATCTGTAGTTAGTGAACTGAATTGATTGTTTTGGGTCACCATGTCCTTCAAGATTTTAGAGCTAGTAAATCTCAACCTCTCATGCTTTTTTTTTATTTAAAGATTAGTAGGGGAAAACAAACTTTCCTGTTTTTTCAACTCCCGATTTCTTAACTTTGAATGAATTAGTCAAATAGAATATTTTCTTCATTTCAGTTTATCTGCCCCTGCAGAAAAGGCTACTGCTGTCAAAAGTGGGTTTAGCACTTCAACAAACTCAGGCTCCAGGTGCTCAGCTAGGGACTTGCACCAGGTTCAGTGGCTTAACTCTCTAAAATAGTGATTCCCAAACTTGTTCTGCCGCTTGTGCAGGGAAAGCCCCTGCCGGGCCGGGCCAGTTTGTTTACCTATCGCGTCTGCAGGTTCCGCTGATCGTGGCTCCCACTGGCCGCGGTTCGCTGCTCCAGGCCAATGGGGTCTGCGGGAAGCGGCGACCAGCACGTCCCTTGGCCCGCGCTGCTTCCAGCAGCTCCCATTGGCCTGGAGCAGCGGCCACTGGGAGCCGCGATTGGCCAAACCTGCGGACGCGGCATGTAAACAAACAGGCCCAGCCTGGCCTTTCCCTGCACAAGCGGCAGAACAAGTTTGGGAACCACTACCCTAAAACTTTGGTAGCAAACAAGTACTACTTAAAATTATATTAAAATTATTTAAATAATATTCATTACATTTAGGTCATAATTTTACCAGTGTTTTCAATGTTCCAAATGTATTTTTCAATATGGTCTCTCTCTCTCTCTCTGCTGCTTAAGATACTAAAGAGGCAATCGAGAAAGTATTGGTAATAAATAAAAATATATATGACCTGCTTCCCAGGCCAGAGGCATCTTGACTTCCTGCCTGTTAGTTTCTGAACAGTAACTCCTCAATATAATTATAGGTGATATTGATGGGTTTTAAAGTGTTCCAAAGTCTCCTTAGACATAAGAATAACAGTGCTTTGACAAGCGAGTAGAAAATCTCATTCTTTATTCACTTGTCTAAGGTCCAAAAAGAGTCATGCTCCCACTCTTATTGATTTTCAATGAGAGTAGGAAACATAACTACATTAGATCCTTTTGAAAAACCCATCCTAAGTATTAAAACAGAAGTTAATTTAAGGATCATGGAAAATACTCCACATTTATTGTACACAGACTAACAAAAAGTTATTTCAAATTGAAATTTAAGATTGAAAACCTACAAATTTTATAGTCTACTTAACTTAAGCACACCTTATTACAAAATATGTTAATGCATTTCCTATAAATTAATCCTTGCAGTAAAAATAGGAATAGAAGCAATCATGATTATGAATGCGGCTTATAAGTAAATATAAATTTTAGAAATGGTTTCCAAATTGCACTTATGTCATGTTAAACAAACAGAAATATAAAGATTTCCTAGCAAATAAACCCGATTCTTTAGTAACCAGACAGAGGCAGACATAAGATTAAAGACACTGGGCAGAATTCTGATCTGAGTTACAGCAGCGTAAATCCAGAGTAACTCCATTTAAATCAGTGACGTTATTCCTGATGTACACCAGACTAACTAAAATTAGAATCCTTTTTGTACCACCACAGGGTCCTAAAATCCATTGGAACTACTACCTTGAATCAGGGCTGTAGACCTATAATTCCTTCCCTGACAAAGACAAAGCTCACTGTCAGAGTCTCACCACTCGATAACTCTGATTTCAATCCAATTTATTTCATTATACAGAAATATATTTTAGTCATATTTTCTGAAGTTCAATTACATGATCAAGATCCAAATTCTGTCCTTAAGTCTATTGTGTAGATCTCAGTACAGATCTTAATGAAATTATTTCTGAGATAGAAACATTTAGCTGGGGATCCACCAACATAAGAGATGCACAAACACACACTGATTATCCTGAAATATCTGCACCTAATGTCCAACCTAAGCTGATTATCCTTTGAGGATAGGACAAGCAGCAAAGAACAATTTTTCTCCCCCCGTCTCTTATGTACTTGAAAACTGTTATGTCCCCACTCAGCCTTCTCTTGTCCAGACTAAACCAACCCAATTTTTTCAGTCTTCCCTCATAGGACATGTTTTCTAGACCTTTAATCATTTTTGTTGCCCTTCTCTGAATCTTCTCAAGTTTGTCCACATCTTTCCTGAAATGTGGCACCCAGAACTCATATTTAGCTTGTGAACCACTATGATCCCCAGATCACTTTCCACAGTACTCCTTCCTAGGCAGTCATTTCCCATTTTGTAAGTGTGCAACTGATTGCTCCTTCCTAAGTGAAGTACTTGGGCATTTGTCCTCACTGAATTTCATCCCATTTACTTCAGACCATTTCTCCAGTTTGTCCAGATTTTGACTTTTAATCCTATCCTCTAAAGCACTTGCATCCCCTCCCAGCTTGCTATCGTTCCACGAACTTTATAAGTGTACTCTCTACACCATTATCTACATCACTGCTGAAGCTATTGAACAGAACTAGACCCAGAATTGATCCCTGTGGGACCCCACTTGATATTCCCTTCCAGTTTGACTGTGAACCACAGATAACTACTCTCTGGGAATAGTTTTGCAACCAGCTATGCATCCACTTTATAGAAGCTCCATCTAGGTTGTATTTCCCTAGTTTGTTTATGAGGTCATGAGAGACAGTATCAACAGCCTTACAATAGTCAAGATATACCACATTTACCATGTTATCCCATCCACAAGGCTTGTTATCCTGTCAAAGAAAGCTACTAGTTTGGTTTGACACAATTTGTTCTTGACAAATCCACTTTGACAGTTACTTATAGTCATCAGTTGTTAGCTGCGTGTGTGTTCTCTCTGCATGCAGCGCTGGCTCTGGCCAGGTAGATAGTACAGCAGACCTCAATCAAACTGCCCAAAATAACCACAGACTCTGTTCAGTAGCAAAGGCACTTGGCCAGGTTTATTGTCAACAAAGCACGGTAATAGCACCCCATAGACTCTACGGGGATACTAAGACATGTACGCTCATTGCAATGGACCAGCTCAGTGAACAGCAGGACTTGCCATTCCCCCTTAGGCTGTACAAAGACAACCCCTTTGTGACCCCTCTTTCATACACTGATACAAACAAGTTACATATTACCCCTCTGACATGGTTAGTCACCACCCTTTACCTTGTACATGTTATTTTGATCAAAACATCTCTATGCATCACCCTGTCATCCTGATCTTATCTTTAAGAGGGGTCAGCAAGTCCTTGAATCATCTTTGGGAAAAGGGTTTATACCATACCCTTGTATCGGGGTGTTCTGGTACTACCCTTCTGAAATGTGTTTACATTAATATTTAGCGCCTAGGAGTGCTTGTGTTTTTGCAATGCTAGCCCTGTTCTTGCCAAGTTCTTGTATCGGATAGCAAACTTGCAAGTGGGCATCTGCTTTGTAATAGGGCAGGACCTGACTTGGCCTGATTCTTGATAATTCTGCTTTATACTAGCAGAACCTGATTCTGTTTGGACCTTAGGCCTTACACTAGGCCTTTTATACAAGGCCTCATTTATCACCTTATTATTTTCTAGGTGTCTTCAAATTGATTACTAATTATCTGCTCTATTATCTTTCGGATTACTGAAATAAAAGCTGACTAGCATGTAATTCCCCGGGTAGTCCTTATTCCTTTTATAGACTGGCACTATATTTGCCCTTCTCCAGTTGTCCGGAATTGCACCCATCTTCCATCACTTTTTAAAGACAGATGTTCCTTATCTCTGCCAGCATGCAATGCAGCTTTGGGAACAAAAATGGGAGATCTCTTGTCTGGTTTAAATAAAATGCAGACAAAGTTTAGATAAAAATTCTGAGTACTGTTGTAAGGCCACTTTGTCCTTGAAGAACACTGTGTAAAAAGGACCCACCTTCAATACTTGTAGCAAGAGATTCTCCTGACCACTGTTATGGCTATAAGGAAAGAGATCTTTTGGATTAGGTGAAGACAAATAAGAGGCCACAGGCTTGAATGGTGGAACTATGAGGGCTGCCAGGATGGTGATGAGGTCCCAAGGGAGCCAGAAACCATGATGAGTGGGAACAGAAGAATCACACCTTTAAGAAATCTAACAATCACGGGACTGGAGAAAATTGACTACTAGGGGGCAGCTGCTGGCAGGGGGAGGCAGCGAAACCACTCAAAGGCCTTGGATGGTTTATGATTTCAGTTATCTGTATGCTTGTGATGCACTGTACCACCTTGTAACCCCCATATTCATCATTTGTATATGGCTGTGATATTTCATACAA